AAAAGAAATGGTTGTAAAATTTAACAGGGTTAATTCTGGGTACCAGATTAAATTTGAGTGCACAACTGTGTGGGAGGCTTTGGTTTAATATGTCTCATGCAAACATGTGCTTAGATTTAGCAATGAGATAGATTCAGTGTCAGAGCCTCAATTCTAGAAAAATATCTATACTCTTTGCATATGCAAAATATATTTATGTGAATTAAACTACAGTTGCTCAAAGAAAGCAGAGCTTAGGTGTGAGTAACTTAACTCACTATTGCCTGACTTCAGAAGTTTTAGTGACACTGAATGCAGTGCATGGTTCCTGTGTGATTCTAGTCTAATCCCTCCTCCCTATAGCACAGCTCTCTATAGTAGAACATGGATGGTGGTCATACTTTGAAATAGCTAAAATATGTTAGGGCCAGTGAGGGAAACAAAAATTCAGTCTAACTCTGCCAGATCCTGCCAGCATACTGGGGACATCCCTCTCCTTTCCACTTCCCTGCTCACCTTTCCCCCAGATAATCTTGTCTTTGCCCAGGGCAACTTTCCCAGCTCACCTTCTTTAATTGCTATTGAACTGTTGCAAGTGGCAAAGTTGTGTATAAGAAGCTGGTGCTTTTCCTCTTACGTTTTCTGTTGCTGAATGCACCATAGACACCAGTTTAGTTTGGGATTCAGTAGTTCTGGGTTAATTGATGTACCTGATATGCTCCATGTGGAGATGCCTCTTTGTAGTGAGGGGATTAGCTTGATTATTTTTCTTTGAGAATGAAAGAGTGAGACTCTTCTAGAGTTCAGCCTAGTGAATTTGTAGCAAGATCTGACAGAAACAGAGAATGCATGGCAGTAGCTAAATCACTATATTGATGGGGATAAATCAGTGCGTTGGGTGGAAAATGAGCCCAGACCAGTGACTGCTCAGTAATTTATGCACAGGTATGTTAACAAAGAGCTTGTGATCGTGATTGCTGTCCAAATCATGTATAACCATATAGGTATAAAATGCTCCAGGGATGTAAGAAATAAGAGATTTTCTGGCAGCAGCTTCTGGAAGGAAAAGAGCTGAGATCTGAGATTGCTTGTTAGAGCTTTGTCTACTCATCTGTGGTGTCGAGGAGACTTATTTAAATCTCATGAAAGTGGACTGTACTGCAGTTTTGTCCTTCCCAGTCTGAGGGTTAAATTTGCATTGCCTTCAGTGTCTCTGCAGCTAAGATGAAAATAACTTCCATGTGTCACTTTTTCTCTCTTTAAAAATAGTTGGAATTCCCTCTAAATTATGTTCAGTATTCAGTGTATATCCCCAAAATACAAATATCCCCAAGTACTTGAATACAGTTTTAATTTCTTCATTTCAGTGTGTTCCTGAGTTAGAAGATCTACTCTCTTCTTTCTTCTTCAGTGATAAAGAACAGCAGTCTCCGAACATACAACCAGTGTCTTAAACTCCCAACACCTTTCTGAACATTATTTTTGATAAGTGTTTTCATGTTTGTGTTACACAGGCAAAGAAACAAGTGATGTGAAGTCTCTTCATTAGGGTTAGGGTTAGGGTTAGGGAAAGCTGTGTTTTAGCATGGGTTGAGACCCCAGGATTCACATCTCAGAAGCCTGATTTCTGGCCACAAGAAGACATACTAACCAGGATGTCTTCTGGCTGCCCTGCTGGTAATCCCATCAGGAATATTTGGCAGAAGGACATAGAAGTTACATTTCCATACTTTTTTTTTTGAGAAGAGTTGTAGGAGTGAAGAGAGTTGAACTGAGGGAAATGCAGAATGCAGGAAGAATTGAGTCACTGTGTGCTCTGAGAGGCAGCCAATGCTTGGCCAGTCCTCCAGTGCTATCTGGAGAGGGTGCTGTCAGTCCCCAGCCAAACTGGCAGGAGGTATTGAGAGGAGACAAGAAGGGTGTGAACTGAGTATCCTGAGCAAGGGTGAACTGAAGGTATTTCTGGGTCCTGCCTTGGTGGAGAAGAGTTGAAAGAGTTGTACTGCGGAGCAGGAGCGATGCAAGAGAGGAGACGGAGTGCTGTGACAGTGCTGCTGAGGAGATGCAGGGCATTGTCCAGGAACGATTAATTGTGCTGCCCCTGGAACAGTTTATAATTTAGAAGCTCTGATTACCATTTAGAGAAACAGATGAGAGGAAAAGAAGGGTGGCACGAAATAGTTCTGTTTCTTTTTGTGATGAAGTGGGTTTTCAGTGACGGGCACAAGATCACATTAAGGGCCAGTATAGCTTTGCGGGCTCTTTCACCAAGAATGTTTTTGTTTCTTTGAAGATGAGATTACTGGATTCTGACAGACCTGTCTGTCTCCATGGTAGCAGAGCAGGCTATGGAGGGGACAAGTGCAAACCCAAGTTTTTGTTTTGGCTAACGCTGTTTTCTTAGGACTTGCCTTCACCGGGACACTCAGGAGTCTTGAAATAAGCTGATGCACATATGCTAAGTTGCACTAAACCTCTACATTGATGCTCTCAGTCATTGTAACGTAGGTCACCATATCTTAGCCTACTGTAAAATAAAACTGCCTTTCTTCTGAATGAAAATGCAATAAAGCCTCACTTATTTACATTGACTAGTTAATTTGTCTTGTCTAGAGATTTTTCTTAGTGCCCCATGTAAATGAAACCTTCAGTGAAGACAGGACTGGGGCCACATTGTTGGCAGTGAAGATTCCCAAGCTTAGCTGAGAGTGGTGTTAGGGTATGATAGGACTAGGCACCAACTTCTCCTTAGGAAGCCCTTGTTAACACAAATCTAAAAATATCTGCTTCTTGATTCAAACAGTCACATCTATTATAGGACATTTCAATCTGCCTTTTTGAAAAAGTTTATAGTGAGTGAGGCAATTCTAGAAATATTTGGAGGCTTCGTATTTCCTAGATCCCAGCCAGATTGGTTTCAGGCCTCATTATGGTAGGGAAACTATAAGACTGTCTGTCTTACTAGCTTACTGACAATTGCCAAAGACTATTACATATCAATTATCTAAAAAAATAGGGTCAGGAAGTTTGGGGAGATCCGTGATAGGCAGATATACTTCATTGGCAAATACATGTCACAAATACACAGGCACTTCTTTCAGTGTAGAAGGTCACAGTGGAAATTACAATTGATCTTAACGTTACAGGATTTATTGGATGATGTTTGACAAGGTACAGTGAATACGGAGGCTAATCAAGACCGAATGTCACAGAAGTGACTCCACTAACTGGCAGAGCTCAGAATTTTCTATTTTGTGATAACGGGCAGACACGTGACTTTGAATGTCTTGAACACTTGCATTTAATTTATTCTGGTCTTTGAAAGTATAAAAAGCTGCCAGAACATTGTATCAATGATTCTAGCTACAGGTAGTCTTGCTTACCCAGAAACTAAAAAGCATTTCTGACAAGAAGAAATAAGATGATTAAGATCTTCAATCAGTTAAGAATGCTTTTCACACTTTTGCTGTCACTTTGAATTTTTATCTGAAAGTGCATTCCCACAGGTTAAAAAAAGGTAGGAAACAACCTTGTTCATAGGGGGTGCTGACTGTATCTCAAAAGTTAGGTGAATTCTGAAGATGGAGATGTGAGAGAACCACAAGACTCAGCAATAGCTCTTTGGAAGATTCAGAGCTGAAGACTCACGATCTGCTGTGTTTGTCAGCCCATTTGAGTGTGTTTGTGTGGACCTGGATAATGTCACATTCTCTAAAACAATGTTTCTCTAAGCCCTGAAGAATGTAAAATGGCAGGTAAAGAGAGAATCCAGAAGTATACGGGTGGTATCTCTAAATCAGAGCAGAACTGTATGAATTTTGAATGCTCTTTTTCCAAATTGTTAGTTGCACTCTAGAATGTAATTTTCTTTTTTTTTCGCCAACAAAAAGAGTAATAGTTAAAAGAATTGGTATTAAAAATGCACATTTTGCTGAAACATTGAAAAAGTGATAAAACCCAGGAGATTCCAGCTAAAATAAAATTGTTGCAATGAAAAAAGTGAGGCAGAAATACTAAAAAAAGAGTAAAGAAATACATTATACACTGAGGCCACCTACTGGGTATTGTTGAATTAGCAGAGCAAATTGAGTGAGATGGCAAGAGTCCAAAGCAAGTAAGAGAATTATCTTGCTCTTAAAAATAAAAAGAGAAAAAACTACTCCTCCTAAAAAATCCCAAACAAACAAACAAACAAACAAAAACCCAACCCACAAACCTGGGAAAAAAGAGATAGCAAATTTAGGTTCTGGAAACTGAGATTTTTTTTTTTTTTTTCTAAGAAGTTTCAGAAAAAGAAACTGAACTTAATTGTTATTGCAGCTATCAGTCCTCCAAAGGGATGTTATAATTTTTTCCAATGATAATATTGTCCCTTTTGCTCTAATGAAAGTGTAATGGCTGAGCTGGTGCTCAGGCTAATGCAACCCTTTGGATCTGGGTTTGGCTATGCAGGCTGGAAAGCATGTCTTCAACTTTCTCCTTTGTAAAATCACAGTAGGTTAATCTAAAGGAATCTCAAAGAAGACTTATAAAACAGTTAATTCCAGTGCTTTAAACTAGTCCTATTCAAACCGAACAGTGCAGTTCTATGATGATGTCCTCAACATAAAAAGGACGTGGAACTGTTGGAACAAGTCCAGAGGAGGGCCACGAGGATGATCAGGGAACTGGAGCACCTCCCTTATGAAGACAGGCTGAGAAAGTTGGGGCTGTTCAGCCTGGAGAAGAGAAGGCTGCATGGAGACCTCATAGCAGCCTTCCAGTATCTGAAGGGGGCCTATAGGGATGCTGGAGATGGACTCTTCATTAGGGACTGTAGTGATAGGACAAAGGGTAATGGGTTAAAACTTAAACAGGGGAAGTTTAGATTGGATATAAGGAGGAAATTCTTTCCTGTTAGGGTGGTAAGGGACTGGAATGGGTTGCCCAGGGAGGTTGTGAATGCTCTATGCCTGGCAGTGTTCAAGGCCAGGTTGGACAGAGCCTTGGGTGACATGGTTTAGTGTGTGAGGTGTCCCTGCCCATGGCAGGGGGGTTGGAACTAGATGATCTTAAGGTCCTTTCCAGTCCTAACTATTCTATGATTCTGTGATATGGTAGGAAAAGTGCATTTTTATCTCTTGAAGTGTGGTCAAGAGAGTAGAAATGACTGATTATCATATCCCTGAACGATTCCTTTCAACTTAATGATTAAAATGAAGTTAGTATCTGGATTTGCTAATGTCAAGGTAAGGCAAAGTTGCTCCAAGAAGAACATAGCAGTAAAATTGGTATGCTAGTGCTTCTTTAGAAAAAGGCATTGGTCTTATCTAGTTCTGTTAAAATTCAGATTGCTTTTTTAAATTTAGTACTTATTCTTCAGCTTTAAGAGACAGGTTTTCCTGGACAAATTCATGAGTTCAGGAAAGTCTTTTGAGCCATATAAATGTCTGAGCAGAGTCAGGGGAATATGAGTGACTGTAACACACATTCAGCACTATCTTTATGAGAACTTTGTATGGGTGTAGCCTGATGGTAAAACTGCAAGATTTACAAGTGCTGGAGACTTTTGATGTCTGATCTTTTCTGCCACTTGACTAGCAAAATCCTGTCTAAGAAGCGGAGTATTTGGGAAAGGTGGAATTCCATCACCAGAAGATGCCTGCCTTTTAGGCACTTCTCCATTCCTTTTCCTTTCCACAGCCCTTCCCTCTGTTGGTGTAGATAAGTATGACTAACTAAAGAATGTATAGAAATTTGCACTGATTTCAGTGCAAAATTCACAGCAAAACATAATCTACACAGAAAACTCTTATTCCACCACCTGTATCAATACAATCTGTAGCAATGAATTAGCAGAAATGTCTTATGATTGCACTTGATTTTAAAAGGATCAGGAGCAAAATATGAAGGATTTGGCAGAGGAATATCCTCCTTCATTTCAGTGTGGAAGGTGGCATTAGGTTAATTTAGACACTAATGTGTTGTGGATATTGTGATAAGCTCCACACAAGGTCCTACTGATGATCCCCCACTGGTGGCAAGAGCAGTGCTGTGGCCCCAGTCCTGCCTCTTGAACTCTAGTGCAGCTTCTTGGCAGGACAAGACCTTTGCATGTCCGGGGAGATCATGGTATAGGAAAAATGTGGTGCTCTGCTGTAAATGCATGAGAGATGGGCTTTGGTGTGTCAGAGGGGTGGCCAAGGCCTACTGGTGTAATTGTCCCAGGTAATGGCATTGGAGGGAGCACAACGTTTTTGCCTATATCCACAGCTCAATCAGACTCTGGAAAACTCAATTAACCAGAAGAGCTTTTCATCCAGTAGGGCAGGGCAAGAGTCTTCTGGGTTATCCAGCAAAAACTTGGACAGTTTTGGCCTCAGTTGTCATGATTTCTGCTTCTGGCCATTTTGTAGCTAAACAGAAGTGGAGAATATAGAGCTCAAGAACTATTAAAAAAGAACAATGCAGGCATGATACAGACATGGCTACAGTGATGGGGAGAAATCTGAGTGAAACACATATTATGTGAACAAATTACATCATTTTTTACTCAAAGCAGCTGTGCAGTGCCCTGTGCTTGCTGATGCTGAAGCATCAGAAGGGGGGAAAAGCACTGTCAAGGCTGAAAGACTGCTGTGTGGTTTTCCAGGCATTTCACTGCAGATTTATAGTCGGTAAACTTGGCTTCTGAATTATAGGGATGTATTCAATGTTTTTTTTCTGGCTTCAGTATGTTGCTTATTTTCTGTGTACAATTTTTTTTCTTCAGAAAAAATTCCAGTTCCTAGTGAATGGATTGTAGATTTAAGTCCTATTTTTTTGCCCTGATGAAAGCAATATGCTGGTCTTTGACTAGTTTGCAAGAGCAAATCTAGCTTTCAACACATGTGCTACTTGGTATGTACTGAAACTATCAAAGTGATTATGTAGTCACAGCCTCATAGAGTATAACCAAATATACTCAAAGCTCAATGAGAGGCATTTGTCATTCTGAATCAGGTAAGAACAGACTGTACTGGCACTGAAGAGCTATCAGGTATCTTGTCAAGAGACTGGCAATTTGTACAATGCTTGGAGAATACTCCACACATTCTTTGTTTAGAATGATGGTCTGAATATATTTGATGGAAAATATTAAGAAACTTAGGAGCTATACCTTGAAACTGCAAGTAGTATTGAATGAAAGTAATGCAGACAGTTATGCAGAGGTCTCTACCATCTAAAATATTTAAATTCACTATTATAAGAACAGTTACAGTCATGGCAACTTTATTCTACTTTCAGTGTTTTTATTTGATTCAACGGATATAAAATTATTAATGTTTTAGCTGAGAGGTAGTTTTCAGCACTGAAAAGTAGTATTTGCATTTCAAATCTAAAATATTTTGGGGACAAAAAATCTTTAATAGATTTTGATCTCACTGTAATGTGTTGGCTCTGCTATACAGTTAGTTTTACAAAAAAGTAAAACGTTGATGGAATCAAAAGCCTTTCTCTTACGTGAACTTTCCTGAATATACTTAATAAAATAAACTTTTACTTAATTACAATAACCACTATTCCTCATGCCATAATTAATATTATTTCATAAACTGGTATTAGGCCAACTTTTATACATAAACCACAGAAACTTCTTCATAAACAGGTTATGTATTTAAAATATGAGTTTTGAGATTGAAGTATCTTTGTTGTTAAAAGAAGAATTCTATGCAAAACTAAATTCTTACTCAGTTATAATAGGTGTGCATCTTTGGATTAGCCATCATAAAATACTTACTGGAATACTAGAGTAGAAATAATACTGTTAAATATGTATGATGTTACTTTCTCTTGCCATACATTCTGGATATGTATGTATGTGGCCTAAAATAGTGTGTGACGGATCATACCTTCCCAAGAAAATTCATAGATTCTGATTTTGATGACACTGTGGAAGACCGTAAGATATACGATGTATGGTTACGTCATGTTTTTGGTAGAGCTTTGCTAGTCCTGTTTCTCTCATCTTCTGTTAACTTAATTTCCAAATTTATTTGTGGGCATTTGTGTGCTGTTTAGTTTCTGTTTATAAGCCTATATGGGATGGGCAAAGAAGGAGGGGTGCTGGAGTGGGTCCAGAGAAGCTTCTGAAAGGTCCAGAGAAAAAGTCTCATGGGGAGTGGCTGAGGGAATGGGGGTGATTTAGCCTTGAGAAAAGGAGGCTTGGGGGAGCCCTATCACTCTCTACAACTATCTTAAAGGAGGATGGAGCAAGAAGGTGGCTGTTGGTCTCTTCTCCCAAGTAGCAAGTGATAGGACAAGACAAAATGGCCTTCAGTGGTGCCGGGGAGGTTTAGATTGGATATTAGGAAAATACCCAATATCCTATATCCTGAGATATTCAGGATGGACATGGGGAAAAACTTCTTTATTAGACTGATAGTGCAGCACAGGAGAGTGAGTCCAGGGAGATAAAATAATCCCATTCCAATTTTCAAGGCTCAGATAGTCAAAGCCCTGGCTGACCGTGTTGTGTTGAGTGGGAAGTAGGGTTAGAAACCTCCAGAGATACCTTCCAGTGAATGTATCTATGATTCTGTGATAAGTCCCGTGAAAAACAAAAAAGATGATTCTTCTGCTTGAAATGAAAGCTGGCAAAGTTCAGCTGCACTTAACTACAGCCCATGAGTATTTTTCATGTGATTTAGGCATTATTCCAAACACAGTGACATCATTCACACAGCTCCGGACTGTACAGTGCTTACAAAGAATCACTGCTGTCATTCTTTGGCTGTCGATAGATGTCTATATGGCGCTAATTTAAAGCAGAAATATCTATGGAGCCCCTGCAGTTGTTGTCCCAGGTTACTTGCAGATACATGCTGCATAAACAAGAATAGAAAATACCTCTGCACTGTGAGTTTTTGAAATAGTTCAACAGCAAGTGGCCCATGAATCACAAGAAGGAAGTGATCAGTCACCACAGCCTTCCCTGGCTCCCCCAGGACTGTGCAAAGATGCATCATACCCTTGGTTTTCATCTATCAGTGTCTGCATCTGTACTGGGAAAGAAAACAGCATCAGAGACTGACAACTCTTCAAAGGTCATCTATACTGTGGCATTATTAGTGGGGCTTGTCCTTTACCAGTCAGCACTCTCCCAAACAATGCATGGCCATGGTTTTGAGGACAGTCCAGGCCAGGGGTGGTTCCCTGAGGCCACTCCAGTTTTTTGAGGAAGAGAATTTAAGTTTGCAGACCTCAGCAACATGATATTCTATTTATCATTCACATGCTTTTTGCAACACAAAATAGTCCAAAGTTGTATGCACCTACAAAGAGTCAAGAAACACAGTGTGGGTTCTCAGGTGTCTCATTAGACATAAAGAATATTCAGTCAGTGGTAAACATCAAAGTATTGCTAGTAGGTTCAAGTACCATAAAGACTGCTCATCTGGTGTCTAAGATTATTTAAGAGTTTGCAGCTGTCCTTCTGATAAATAAGAAGCTGTAACGATATACACATTTGTACCTACAGTGCATTTTGTTGCGAGTGTCACTTGATGTCTCCCAGATGTTTTAGAACAGATTCTTTATTCACCTTCTTCATACTACCCTTGATATTCCTATCTCTCTCCACACTGGGTTTATAAATCCTTATTTATTCTACCTCTTCTTTATAGGAATACCACTTTCTGGTTCAGAATTATCCATACTAGGTTTCTCTCTACCTTTTTGATTTCTGCTATGCACTTTCACTCATGCTCTTGGTATTCGTAATGAACACAGTTGATTTTACTCAGTGGCATAACGACATTTTTTGTCATGTTCAGTGTTTATTTCCTAATAATTCATAGCATTTCCCCTTTTTTTAATTGTTATTCAACACAGATATTTGATGTTTGCCCTATTATATCTTTAAAATCTTACTCCCTACTAGTAATAGCTAATTTGGTGCCATCATTAAATTTGTATGCAAAGTTAGGATTGTATTTTCACTTATTATTTTACATTTGTTTACATAAATGTAATTTCCTCTGTGAAATATTTGTGTACTTAGTCACTCAATTTCCTGAGGCTCTTCTGTAGTTCATTTTCATCCCTTATGATGAATTATAGCTTCATCAGCGGCACACTGTGTTTCTTTGTCAGTCACACCTCTTTTTGTGGTCATTTTGGATAGGGTGAACACTTTGGATCTCAGCACAGTTCCTAGAGATGCTCCATGTAGTCTGTGACAGTTGGCATTTACTCCTGTGTCTCCTGTTTTGTTTGTACAATGGTAATGACACAAGGGCTTTTCCTGCTAGCCCTTGTCAGTGTATTTTTTTAATCTTGTCAGATGTCCTCTTGGAGACGTTTTCTCCATTGTCTGTAGGCTTCTTGATTCTTCAAAGAACAATAAATCTGTGAGGCAATATAGTAACTTCTCTGAAGTGTATGAAATTCTGTTCTTATTCTGTATTGCTGGTGTCAGGCATCTGCAGAAAACAGGTATTGCCTCTGTTTAGTATAGGTAGAGATATATTGAATGACATGAATGGAGATGGACACCTGAAACAGTGCAGAAAAAGTATTTCTGGAATATATAATTTATTACTGATGAAAGTTATATTTTCCCATGAAAAAATTCCTGAGTAGTTATGCAGAGGCGACTACCCACTAGTAAACACATAGATACAATTACTTTTTGCTATTCCATTGCAATGAAGATGTGCAAAATATAAAGCAAAGCTACAGAATCTGTTTTGACCAGACAGTAGTTTGTCCGTGCTGTGAATAAGAAAGTAAAGAATGAAAAAGAATTGGAAAAAATATCCTGACAGGCTCATTATATTTAACTGTTCCTGTCACTAAATCTTCAGTCTTCATTAGGATCAAGTAACTTAAGAAAATGAAATGGCAGACATTGCAGAGCTCAGGTGCGGATGATATGTCAGCCCCCTCTGGGTTCCAACAGGCAAGAACTTACTCTATAGAAGAAATAGTATTACTTGATCTCAGGCCTGGCCATTGACCTACAGAGAAGTTTAGCTTGTGTGGCTAAATGTCACTTACATAAATAGAAATGACTCCTTACTAGTATGTTCACATTCTCCCATATCTTCCCACAACACTTGAGATAGTCAGCTGTGAAAACAAGTTGTTTCCTCTGAAAGGGAAGGATGCTGGAGAATGTACTAAGTTGCTTGGAGTCCTCTCTTGCAGGCTTGCAGTGATGAGTACTTGCTAGATACTACTGGACTTTTCACGTGTGGATTTCAATACAATCTCTCTGGGATCTTTTTTATCATCAAGCTAAACTGATCAGGTGGCATAAACTCAAGTACTAGAAAGAGGTAAATGATACACTGTTCTGTCTTACTTACTCCATACAACTGTGCCGCTGTTTCTGTCTTGTTGGCTCTGTACTTGGACAAAGTTAGCCCAAGGATGAAAAACAGCTGTGTGAAACAGAACCCATGCAAAGAATCATGATGTGAGGAAAGGCTTTCTGAGGAGCACAAAATGCAGTCTACTTTGGAGCTAGTTGAGTCACATCTGTAATTGATCAACTGAATCTATAATTTAGAAGTCCTTTTACATTCCTTGATTGTGCTAAGTTTGGACATAGCATTACCCATAAGTAATGCTTTCTATGAGCTTTGATTGGCTAGAAGACCCCATCCCATGCTGGCAGACAGTGACATGTTACTCAGTTGTTCATGCTTCACTTGCTTCCTGGCTGGTCTACAAGAGTCTGTTGTATTTGGTCACCAGGCTTTTCACCACTTAGAACAATTCACCTCCAATAAAAGCCCTCAGCCATGCTGTTTATTTTGAGTGTATCATCAGACCTGTCCTCAGCAGTCTACAATCTCTTCCCACAGAAAACTCAAAAGCAAGATTTGGTCCTTCTCGTCTCAGCAGGGTTTTTTCTATGATGGCCAAAAAGCATCCAGAGCTTAGTGTTGACAGCTGTACTCATCTGTTACTGCAGACCATTCCCTTTGCTGTCTATCTCCACCTCAGTAGGGGTAAATGCTGTCACAAAAGTCTGTTCAGGAGACAGAATGTTCTCGGAGACCACTTTGAGACTGTGAAATTAATTTCCTTGGATATAAGGGCAGTTACAAACCTGACCTTTCATTCAAAGTGTGAGACACATTTATTTGATCTTCTCTATCAAAAACACTGAGGCAACATAAATCTTTATAATCAAACCAACTCTATCAAAAGATGACACTTCACTGCCCTATCATGTTCCCTTGGGAAGAAGATGAAAGAACAAACAGCTGCAACAATCAAGAAGTAGTCATGCTGCTTAACGTATTTTGGAATGACTCTCTGATGCCACGCTAGTGAGTGAGGTGTAGTGAACTCCTGCAAAGCTGAGCAGAAGATTGCTCAGAGCCTGGTTCCCATGCTATAAGCTGGTCCTGATGCAACTTTGATACCTGCTCCATTAAGCAATGTGTAAATGGGGTTGAGAAAGTAAATGCACCCTTTCCTTCAAACACACTTGGTTCTTCCATTTGAAGTTGGCAACATTGTCTTAGGTCATTTGCATTCATGCATTCAGATGCAAATGGTGAATACTCAACATTTTTCTCTTGTTGAAGTCTTTATGATTGAGGCCCAAACCCTGCAAAACCACAAACCAACCCCTAGTTATCCTCTGTGCTTAGCCCCAAACTCCTTAACCACCGAATTCCAGTCTCCACTCCCTCTATCAGATGCCAGAATTTTTGTAAAGCTTACAGCTTCCTTTATCCATGACAAGAGCTCTTAGGCAGACTTCTTGACTAAAACATGAATGAACACAAATGAAAGTGATTGTAATACAGATAGGAAAGTGCAAAGACAAATATTAATAAAGGAATAAAATTAAATGAAGGTAGTGCCCTTATTTTTCTCTTCTGCCTTTCATAAGAGTTCATCTTCCTCCCTCTTCTACGTCTTGACAATTCAGCAGAAACCTAAATATACTTAACATGTAAGTTGCAAGGCATTTTAGTGATAAACAGAATTGTGTGCACTTAACAGAAGTGTGTGCAGTGCATCTTGTGACAGAGATTCCTGTCAAAGTTTCATGAAGGACCTGGGACAGTCATTTCCATGTCTCATTCTCCATCAGATATAAATAAATATGGACTCTGTAGAGGGACACTTTTTCTACTGGTCATATGTCATTTTGACCATTGCAGACAGTGCCATGGAGACACAAGTTCTAATTGATACTTACCACATTTTCTCTAAGAAAAAAAGTACATACAATTTTGTAGCACTCCTGCCCAGAAACATTTGGAGTTTCACTGGTAGGTCCACAGCTTAATTCAAACAACCTAACTCATAATACTAAAGGCCAGGCTGGAGATTACATTTCTGGAACCTTAGGTAATAAAGAAAGTATCAAGGCTAGCCACTGTTGATTGAAGCTTATTTTATTTTAAGAGTCCAAGCAAATTCCAGAGTCACCACAGAATCTTTCCCTGGCACTTTTCTTATTCCTTGTATGTTCTTACCCATTCCCAGTGAGTCCCATTACGGAGCCTGCAGTTGCCTGGTGTGCTAGGAGCCGCTATCCCATACTACAAAAATCCGCTCTGTTTGTGTGCCATCTTGGCTTTCCAGCTTCTTCAGGGGCAGGACTGCATTTGGGATTGATGAGCTGAAAGGTAAGTTAGCAGAAGACAGGTACAGCTGATAGATGTCCATTGCCCTTCACAGAGGCAAGAGCTTGCTTTGGCAATGAGAATTTTCCCCAGGTACTCTCTGGTACAGTTTTTAGAGATCAATAAAAGACCAAGACACTGAATTGCGTTGGAATTGCCTTCAGTTACTTTTATGCATCTAGAATACTCTGTGACAGGAACTAACATTCTCTGTATTTCAATGTGAAATTACTGTGTGTGTTATTTAACCTTGTGCATAACTGTGTGCATATCTGCACACACTGGTGTGGAATTTGCAGCTGAATGCCATAGCATGAGGAATTCCTTTTGCAGTTTCTTTCTATCACACTCTAATTTGAGAAATCACAAGTAGGTAGAAAAACAAGGAATTTTTTTAGAATACTCATTAAAAAATACGTAACTATGGTTAAAGAGGAGAAACTTCAAGGCAATAGTTTTTTTTTTGAGAACATGGGGGTTTATTTGTTTAATACTTGTTTATATCCGTTGAGAAAACTAGTTTCTAGAGAAGAGGGAAATCATGCCTGCTCCACAATAGCATATTTCCTCTTTCTTATTTGATTCTTTATTTGATTATATGCTTTTTGCTTTTTTGCATTCAAATGTTTTCATGGCCTATACACCCACCACAGCCCCATGCATCATCAAAACAGAAGGCAAGAAATTACAGACAGGAGAGATTCTCAACTATTTACACAGTTTCCAGAGTTTACAGAGAGATTAGTTAAAAATAACCTTGTTTGAAAGTACTTACTTTACTGTTTTACATGCAATGTGTAAATATATACTAAAATAACTTTCTTTTAGCATTTAATAGGGAAGATCTGCAAGTTCAGCTAGATTTAGCATGAGTTATTTGCTTTATTTAAAAAGTAAATAAATTTTCTACATATTTGTGTAAATATTATTTATATATTATATATATTGTTTCACAAATAATGTAATAGCAAAAGAATAAAGAGCAATATTCACAGCATTATTTTTTTTAGCAGACCTTAAGAACAACATCCTGAAAAATCTTCAGCATCATACAGAAAATGTTACCTAAACAAGGACTAAACCTAAATAACTCATTAATTCTGCTAATAATAAGAGAAGAAGTTTAAGTTGCTAGTACCAATATTTTAAAGCTGTCTAGTCCTAGTCCTTCCTTTTCTGAACAATGACGTTATCTAGGTGATTGAAAATCCCAAAGTAATTAAAAATGAGCATTGTTTCTTTCCTTGGTGCAAAATTGAGATGTCAAGTACAGAATTTCTGTCAGTCCATGAAATTGTAGAAATCACCTTCTCCTTCCTCATCCTCAGTAAGCCGATCTAAACTCAGAATGGTTAAGTCACACTTCACGGTATTTCTTTAGGTCTCCAGCTTTCATTTTCATTTTATGTTTGTAATGTTACACAGGAGACACCAATAATAGATGACCAAGAAAATGAGGTTAGATGCAATCATAGAGATTGCTAAATTACTGGCATTTAAGATCTTCAGAGCCATTTGTTTTCAGTCATTTCTCTTCCATTGAGTGACTCGTTAATGAACTGAATAATTTCACTCAATGAAAGATTGCAAGGTGAATGAAAGAAACTAGCATCACTTTTGAAGATGCCAAACAGGAGACATTTTTAGTTAGCCCTGAAAATATTATATGTTCCTGTCACTAGAAGTATCTGATTAGCCCTTACTTATATCTAAATTCCCCCCATATTAAAATAGTTATTGAAATAGCTATTTAGCTATTACTGTAATACTATCTTCTTTGGTAATAAATTTGACAATCTTGCATTTACATTTCTGACACCATTCTCCATGATCTATCTGACCTTCTCAGGTTGCAGATGAAGAAGAATCCTCACTTCAGTTGAACCCTGTAGTTGAGAGAACAGTCAGTAACAGAGGCTTTGGAAACCAGGAATTGTTGATTCCTCCCTCGGAGGGCATTTTGCCAGAGAATTCTGCTTGAGACGCATGGAAATTCTTGAACTAAATATATGTGTGCATGGGACTGGAAAAATATATACGAAGCATGTGTTTCTATAGGAATCCTATTCAGCTAAAGCATAACAAGATTTGAAAACACTTTTTCTTGGTAACTCAGATTGGAAATGACCATAAGCTTGATAGTCTATCAGGCTGTACATTTTTACCAGGTTTTTAGCAATCGATATTTGCTAATCGATATTTGGCAGAGAAAGGAAAGAGACCATGAAGAGGAAAGACACATTCTTAAGTGCTTAAGTAAGAGCGTGCTTGTGTTTTTCCACTTGAACTTCAAGCGTGATCTTTCTGACGGCATACTGTACGTCTGAAGTAGAAAATGAAAAAGTGCACCTGATAAAATAAGGAACGGGCATTAAAAAAGTGTGAACTTTCACATTCAAGTTTCCTTATTTTAGAGCAAATGATTTCGGTATCGATTCTCCAGTCTCACAGAGCTGTCCCCTAATAAAATCTGTCAGAACAGCTGCAGACAGTGTGAGCTTTTAACAATGAATAAATAGCACTTATTCCAGAGCCTGGTGAAATTTATAGGACTTTTTCCCACAGTAACTGACTTGTTCAAATGTTTACTAACTCGTGCTATGTATAAATATTCAGGGTTCTCCTTCTGTAAACGCATGCCTAATCTGGGCCAGCTGAAGGCAACTCTCTGTGCTCAGTTTTTCCGGCAGTGATATGGACACTTTTCTAGGAAGGCAGACTTAATTTGCACGCTCATATACACAAGGAGGGCTCAAGATCTCAGCAGTACTTCAGATTATCTGCCTTCAGTTTCCTTTTCTTTCGTCTTTTCCCTAGCTGTGTGGGGAATACATGCCAGCAATTATGATCAACAGTTCTCAGCACATTCATTAAACACAATGTGTTAAAGATGAAGCTTGTGGCTGATGAGCAGTTCTGCTGGAACAGCCTGACATGATCATTTCAACATTACCTGGGATACTGCCTGTCTAGGTAACTAAAAAGGATGCTGGAGTTCCTGGGAAAGCCCTTTTTCTTTCTTCTGCTGTGTTACACATCAGGAACTGTAACATGCTGTGAAATACTTATGCCTTCCAACGGAGTCTGAAGTAAAAGCTTGAAGGATTTCAGTGTCATTTGATGGGGTGTTCAAACTGAATCTAAACTTGATTAGGAGGAAGCATTTGTTCTTCAGGACTGAAGACTATAGGAAGCGTACAAAGATTTTATCACAAACATATGTAGCCGTGCAGTGGATATCTCAGCCTGAGAGCGCTACACATTAATTCCAGGTTATTCACATGGTCACTCTGGTTTGGATATGCCAGTAAAATATACCCATATGCTGTGCAGGCTTTGCAGAGCCAGTGAGTGACAGGGCCTGTGGATGTCTGCATCTGCCTCACAATATCTGCCTCTCTCAAGCGAGTGCATGAAAGCACCTATGGTTTTTACACTGCATGTCTGTACAAGGACATACTTTTCCCCTTTGTTTCTCAGGATATTTGCTAAGTAGCTGTTCTCCACAGGGAGCATTGTCTGCTTCATGAGGAGGAAGAACTAAGCCTTCTTGAGCGTTAGACCTGGACTACAGGGGCATCACTATATTTTGACACTGCTGTACATCCTGGATATCCTCATGTTTACAGCAGGTAAAAACCTCCATTCAGAACATCTCAGCTCTGTATGTAATGCCAAAGGAAACCTGCATTGCAATGAGCACAATAGTTATGGTCTCCTGCAGTAGACCCTAAATACATGACTTTTCAATGTAAATTAGATCAGTGATTTATTTGCCTCTTTCACATGCCCTGGAGAACATTATTTCTATTATGTGCTCTTAACTATCTTCATCACTGCTAGTATTGCTGATGTGCAGCGAACGTGATCCCTAACTTTTGCATTTTTCTATGTTCATCTTTCTTTACCCCTGTAAACATTGGGCAAGCTCACTGACTTCTGTTATTTTGTGTTACTGAAGGTTTCCAAATTTGACTCTGTCCCCTGTCTAATCTTCTGGATCCAGCAGTCTTCTGGACATCTCTTTTTAAATATCTTGCTGTGCTTTTGTAACAATTTGCCCTCTCAATTTCACTTGTGTGCACAGTCATTTCTTATTGACAGGCTTGCAATTAATTAAGGTATTATTAAGGCTGTTGTCAAAAACCTTAAAGAAGGAATACAAAAAGTGTCCCAAGCATATGAATGACTCCAAGATGCTTTATAAGGTGCACCTGATTTTTCTGATATACAAAAAAAAAAATATTTTCAGCTCAAAATCATGAAAACTTCATGTAGACTTTGAAATAGTCATGAAAAGGTATTGCTTTCAGTATACAAATGTTGTTATTCACTAGAAGGCACTCCCTCGTTTACAGTGCCTTCCTGGGCTAATCCTTCTTCTTCCTTCGGGGAATGAGTACTGCAACCTAAGACTATGTATGTTTGTTTTGGCCAGTCGCTAAGGATTTTCTCCTTTCCAAGTAATTGATGTGTCCTAGGAATTATATGCTAGGGGTTGTTGTGGTTTAAGCCCAGCCAGTAACTCAGAACCGCACAGTTGTTCGCTCACTCCTCCCTTCCCTCTCCCCTCCTGGCAGGATGGGGAGGAGAATGGAAAGAATGTAAACACCATGGATTGAGATAAGAATAGTCCAGTAACTAAGGTATAACATAAAACCACTACTGCTACCACCAATAATAATGATGATAAGGGAAATAACAAGGAGAGAATATGAAATTAAAAGGGGAAAAGAAAAAAAAACACACCAACAATAAACACAAGTGATGCACAATACAATTGCTCACCACTCACTGACTGATACCCACTCTGACCTGAGCACTGATCAGCCTGTCCTGGCTAGCTCCCCCCAGTTTATATACTGGGCATGATGTGCTGTGGTATGGAATACCCCTTTGGCTAGTTTGGGTCAGGTGTCCTGTCTCTGCTTCCACCCAGCTTCTTGTGCCTCTCCTCACAGGCAGAGCATGAGACTGAGAAAGTCCTTGATCGGGGTAAACCTTACTCAGCAATAACTATAACATTGGTGTTATCAGTGTTGTTCTCAGACTGAAGTCAAAAACACAGCACTGCACCAGCTACTAGGAAGGAGAAAAATGACTGCTACTGCTGAACCCAGAACAAGGGGAAAACACAAAAATACAAGCATTTGTATGGTGTTACATTAGTAGATGAAATTCCTTGAGTAGACGATGCTGATTTAATAGAATTAAATAGTTATGAATATAGTGTGTTTGTAAGGAATACAAAGTGGCCACTATTGATGAATGCCGGGCTAACACGGCAGCTGAGGAGAACACTGCAGCAGTGGTGGCAGGGGATGAGGGAGGGTTGGCCATGCCTTCTGCTGCCCACATGGCACAGCTGGCCTAGCAGGGAACAGTGGCCGCATGTCACAGCAGGTGTTGGGCACAGGCCAGACCCCTTGCTGAGCTGGTGTTGGGATGTATGGCTCGGGGGGGCAGTTACCCCAGGTACCAGGGGAACTAGTGCGGGTTTAGGTTTAGGCTAGGGCTGTGGCTTCTCCTGCCTTCTGTTGGAAGATGGGACAGTATGTGGGGCAGAAACCAGGGTACCAGGCTGCAAGCAGGTGAGAGGATGCCCTTGGTGTACAGATGTGTGTGATGCAGGGTTACAGCCAATGCCTTTGTATCAGAGCATGCTCTGCAGTTCGGTATACAGGCACCGACCTATACCTGTGTAAAGCTGAGCGAATTAGGCCTACGTCCAGGTACTAGGTTCAAAGGGGAAATAATATGGTTCCTCCTTTTTGCCCATGTACTTAGAATCACAGAATCATAGAATAGTTAGAGTTGGAAAGGACCTTAAGATCATCAAGTTCCAACCCCCCTGCCATGGGCAGGGACACCTCACACTAAACCATGTCACCCAAGGCTCTGTCCAACCTGGCCTTGAACACTGCCAGGGATGGAGCATTCACAGCCTCCCTGGGCAACCCATACCAGTGCCTCACCACCCTAACAGGAAAGAATTTCAGTCATCGAAATGCATGATGACATATTGATCACTGGCAATAAACTGCACATTTCTAATTTGAACCTCTCCAGTGTGTAGGTAGGTGGAAACAGTGAGTACAGAGTTTAGGATCTTTGTGCTTCAGATAAAAAACTCAGAATGGGTACAGCTTGGCCATCACTGCAGCAATGAAGTCTGAGCAATGCAGGGATAGCAATCATCCACCACCAAATCTGAGCCCTCTGCTGTTCAGCGCTGTGGCATTGCACTGTAAATGGAGGCAGGCCATAGCTAGGGTCTCTGAAGCTTTCCCTGCCAGATTAATCACCTTTAAATTACTTTCAGACTTTCAGTGGGTCACTGAGTTCCTCGTTTCTCCTATATTCTGGCCATAGCGCTGTCTACACCACCCCTGGGGAGCCATGCCTTCAGTGAACTAACCTGAAAATGTTGACCAGTTTTCATCTAGGGAAAAGCCCCCAGAACAGTTGGTTTGCCTTAGTTTAACTGATAGCTAACTCTGCACTGTGGATGCCTGAGGCACAAAGGTACCAAGTGGAGGAGGGAGTGAAATCAATTATTAAAGTGTCCATAATATTGTCAGATGATTTTGTTACTTCACCCTTTATTCCAGACGAGTAACAAATGTATGAAATGAGGATGGCCCCCAGGACAGATCTGTTGGGGTAACCCAAGCAGCACCCCCTCCACTCTGGAGATCAGCTCTTCACTCTTACTTGCTGTCCCTACCTTTTAGGTAGTTATCTATACAAGGACCTTCATTTTCTGCTCCATAGCAGCTTAGTTTTCGTAAGTGAAAAGCAGCATTTTTAATTAACATAGAATGGTGTAAGGTACCCTAGGAATCTGTATGATAAAAAAAAAATATAAAAAATACAGAATTTGAACCCAAACTTCACCACTTCATCAGTATTTTTCATTACGTTTGCCTTTCTGAAACTGTGAATAAGAAAAGGGAAGCAATTCTTCTAGCCAAGACCCCACTTGCTAAGGCTATTTAGAAGTAGGAACTGCTCATTCCTAATCTTCAATAGCATTTCTGAGGATAATATCCTGTAAAGCATAAAAATCTTTCACATGACATTGTTCTCCACAGACAATGAATGATGTGAAGCATATTTTACCAGAGAAAGGCCATTTACCTAAAATACTGATTCAAACACCTGTAGTTAATTCAGTCATCATAGGAAAGACACCTGGTGTTTTAATAGCCTGCTGCATTCAACTCAGCTTCCATTGTTTCCAGCTTGCCTAGTTAGTTTGAATTTATTAGTTAAAAATAATTGCTAATCTATGACGTGAAGAAAGAAGGAATAATCCAACATATCAACAGCATTGTGATGTTTTGGCATGGTATTTGATTATAATGTATGTGTGGGTTTTTAATAACAGTTTAAACTTGGATATCAATAAGCTATATCCTTCTTGTCTGTTTTGTAAAAGTCCAAATATTTAGACTAATATTCCTAAGAATATAGGGTGGAATTCCTTTGCCCCATTTTTAAACATTTAAATTGACATCTCAGGATAGGAA